AATTGAGTTAAACGCCAAACTTTAATGTCAGCCAACATGAAAATGTTTGTTCCTGTGCAGCTCAAAGCCAACTGGCTCTGACATGAGCCCCTTGGAGTTTCCACAAAGTTCTAAACCAGTAATACGGCAGCTGTCAGCTTGAATCCAGCAGCTGGTTCCAGTGCTAACAGGGAGGTAAGGTGAAGTTAACTCTTCTCTACAGCATGACTACAACCCACGGGGGGGATCCTCACCCACCTGACGGCGAGTGGACGACAGCACGCCATCTCCGCAGGCTTTACTTTCAGCTCCTGACCAGCTTTGACTAATTGAGGAGACAAAGTGAATAAGACCCTTCAACCAGCACCATCTTGGCTGCAACTCAACTTTTCTGACTCTCACTCAGAGCTGAGCTCCGACGCTCTGACGTCCGGCTAGATACTGTAAGTTCTGCGTGTCACCTTTGAGTTGAGTTCTCGCAAAATGAAGTCAGCGCTACGTTCTTTGACACGAGAAGGTAGTGGGAAAGAGAAAAATATCCTCTGAGAAGTCAAAGAGAATGGGTATGACTTCTAAGTATCTCAAATGTCCTGTCTTGAGAACATAATATCTGTAATACTTCTTGACACATTCGCCTATAACCGCTTATTCTTTGCCGGCTTCTGTGGGGCCCTTTCTTCCCCCCTCTCTGGGCAGGAAAGAAAAGCAGTCTATTTTCTTGTCATATTTGGCTGAAAGGTGGGGGGAGGGAGAGTTTCAGCTTGGAGTCTAATTTCCTGCACTTTAAAGACAGTCCGCATGCAAGGTGCATTACCATGCTATCAAGGTGATGGGAACAATTTCAAAGTGTCAGTCAGTCATGGAAATATCAGAACGACTTAATGTCTGGAGCAACCTGTCAAAGGCTGTAAAGAAGTGGTGCAGAGTAGGAGTTTTATTCAGTCTGCACCCCTTACTTAGACTTTAGCTCAGTGTTGCACTCTAAAAAGTAGTCATGCCATATGTCTGCATGGGGATGTATTAATAGGTGAACCAAGGAGCACATCTAATGTAATTTTGAACAGGCAGAGAACAGAAACTTTGCTGGATGTTATACTAAAGCGATCAGCTTGTGCAGAAAACCGCCGTTCCTCATATGATCCCACCATTCGCCGCTTCACAGACGGCAGTTAGTTAAGGCTGTTAATTTCCTGATAGACGCACCACTGTGGGTGACACACACGGGCTGTACTTAACCATTATTAATGTGACAGGCCTCAGCGCAAAGCAAATCAATTAAACAGGAGCAATCACCGCAGCCTGGATAAGCAGCCTTTTAAGGCTGTTTTTTTCTTGACAAGGAGGTCCTCGATCCAGGCCCTCCAGTGCCAGGGCCTGACAGGTCAAGAAAGCACTGCGAAACAATAGCACCTTCCAACCATCATCTCGCCTTTTTACCTGTCACATCCAGTCGGCCTGTCTGGCTGCTGACGCGGCGCACCCTGTGCCGCCTGCCACAGGGGTGAATTTTCATGTCACCAAGAGGGAATTTCTTATTCTATTTGCTTGACATTATAATGCTGCATTTATCATCCATATCTCCCCCATTTCTTATTTGAAAGCTATATGTTAGGAGCTTTTGTGCCTGCAGTATCTTGGGAAAATAGTCATACTCCATGAAATGTTTCACATTTTGCCAAGTTACAATCACAAATTGTGATTCATTTTATTTGGATTTTACATAATAGACCAACATGAAAACACAAAAGGGCAAATTGCACTTTGTTTTAAATGTTTTAATAAATAAAAATAAAAATATTTACAATGTGTACACCCAGAGTTGTACCTTTGTGAAACCTTTGCTGCATCACCTCCATCCGTCTCCGCATTAACACAAACCAGCCTTACTGTTCAAGATGAATAAAATCCTTTAGGTGTTTTAGAGTAAAATGAATTGCATCTCTTTAAATTTTGAAAAACCATAAATTAATAATTATGTTCTGCTTTGTGTTTATCACATAAATTCAAATAAAACATATTTACATTTGTTATCAATGTGCCTAAATATTAAAAGGTTAAAGGAACATTAACAAGCTTTGCAAACAGTCTCAGTTTTTGACAATTTTCTTAAGATTTAGGTTGCTATGCTGTAGTTTTCAAAGATAGAACAGATTAACAGGACTGTTGCAAGGGCTCACCTTAATCTTAATCTTCCACCGCTGCTTGCAACCTTTAAAGTGTCCACAATGACATTACTTTAAAGCTTCATCAAGTCTTTAGCTGCTGTTAAAACAAGCACTGTCGCAATCTAATTTAAAATTTTCTAATCAGCCCAGCAGCAACCATCCTCCTTCAACAAGTTACATGATCCATGCAAGGTTACTTAATATGGACCTGGTCCTGCAGGCTTCAATAGCTAATACATTTCAATGTCATCAGTCACAGTGATAAAATGTAAGGCTGCCCAAAATTCATATTCTACAATATTAAATGAAATATTTTTTTCAAAGCATGGTTTCTTGAAATCTTACAACAGATTCTGCTTGTTCAGATAATATAAGGACAAGTTTAGTCAGGATGCAAGTTCCTTAAATTAGGTTTTCCTTTACAGCTTTAAGTTGCACATGGAGAAACAGAAAAGGTTTGCAAATATCATAAATAACTTGTCGACTAAAACTATGAGGTTGAAATGCTTTCTAAAGTTTGATATTTAAAACTTTGCAGAAAGTAGTAAAACAAAATTTCCTCCAGCTATTAGTTTTGGATTATCAGTGGCCCCCATCAGGCCACCCTTTGGAGGCACCCCTGCTCTTTAAAGTTTAATTTCCTCCACAATCTTTGTGATTAACTATTACCTGTCATAAAAAAAAAAAAGTTTGATTGTCACGAATGATGGCACCCAAACCTGTATTTGCATTAGGATTCATAACGAAGCCCTGGTGGTAAAATATTCTGCTTTGAACTAATGACTTACTGTGGAAGCCATTTAAGGATAAAGCTGAGAATTTGGTGTCTGCTGCTGCGAACCATCCATCACGTCCACAATAAAAGGAGTTTTTTTGCCTGACAGTTGAAATTTATGGTCGCCCTTCTCTGCCCTAATAACTCAAAGAGCTGTGTCAAAGCCTGACAGCCCTTGCCGAAAACAGCAGTCCTGTTATCAATCAAAAAACACTTGCATATGTTTAAACTTTCGCCTGATCAGCAAGACATTTATAGGCTATTGAGTAATAAGATGAGTGGGTCTGGTTCGATGGTCTAATGATTAATGGTGGCAAAAGGAGATATTTTAAAGCACGGTTCAAGTAAAAAGAAAAAGTACATTTTTGGGCAAGAATTTGGAGAAATAGGGGTAAATTTATGGTTTTTGTAAATACTTATCACTGCATTCGGTCAGTGATAAGTTTTTAAACCAGAAACGAATGAAGAGAAGCAGAAAAAGGGACATCTCACCTTATACCAAACATATATGGATTCATTTATTTTAAATCCAACAGAGAAGTGACAAGTGAGAAGAATAGCAGACAGCTGACAGATAGGCTGTCAGTGTGCTGTCCTGCATGGCAGCAGTGATTTACAGGGCAAAGTTCTAGCAAATGTGAAAAAATGTAAAAGAGCAGAGGTGCCACTATAAAGAGGGAAAAGGAGGACAACAATGGCTACAACTTTAAACTTGTTTCCTGGCTGACCAGTTTTATATGCATCTTTAATATTAGCATTAAGAAACATAACACATTTCCATAAAATAAAATATTTATTTATGCAATTTTAATAAACGCTAAGGCCTTTGTTTACCCTTTACAACATACCACTTCTAAATCTACCACTCCCTTCTGGCACCACCTCACTAAGTACGGCGATAGTCTGTTTAAGCTCATATTAAAGAGCTATTTTTGACTTTTGGTTTAGATTATCATTGCCCCCCCCTCTTGAAAGATGTTACATATTGAAGGTTTTTATCTACAATGGTGCATCAACACTCTTTTTTTGAAATTTTTGCTTCATGCAGGTATGTCTATGACTTTGGTAAAAAAAAATTTAATCAAAAAGTTTAGGCACTTCAGTAATTTAATTCAAACTCCTCTGAACAGCTCCTACACAAAGTTTCTGACATGATTATTACGGCTTTCAGATAATGAAAACTTAATATATTATAAAATTACAATAAAATATTATCTTAATTAAACACACTGATGCTATTCACATGCTGTAGGTTTTTCCATTGTGTGCAGACTTTTCACTTTATAGTTCTCCAGCAGACTCTCCCTGACACCTTCCTCAAAAAGAGAAAGCCTCAAAGGATCATTGTTAAGCAAGCTGGTAGTTCAGAGACTGTTGTATTAAAATGTTTAGTGGAAGGAAAATCTGTGTGACAACTTAGGAGAACTATAAAGGAAAGTCCATTTAAGAAATTAGGGGAGAATATTTATACCTGGGCTACAGATGGACAGACTATTCAGAACATCAGCTACATCTATCGTATTCCTGAACCAGAGACAGCATCAGAAGTTGGGCTGTTGCTCAGAGCTACAGAACCCTATTTATATGTGATCGTAAATTATGTACTATATTTGGATTTAACAAAAAAACTGAATTAAGCTTTTATTAAAGTCATAATATTAACATTTAAAATTAAAGTCTGGAAGAATGTCACTTTTTAGGAATACATCTGCCTTTCACTATATAAATGTTATTTACGGTAGTACTTTTGCTGACAATGTTCTAATTGAATTATGTTTATTAATTGTATGTCAAAAACTGTCCTCTGCAGTCCATCAACTTTGAAGTGTTGGCATGCATGAACTCCAAAACGTTCAAAAACGAGTTGGAATAAGGATGAAAATAAAAATCTTACAAGCTCAAATTATTTAATACCTTCTGTTCACTTCATGGAATTCGTGTTTGGATGATCTTTATCTATCGATCATTCTGCTCCAGAAAACCTAAATGTGCACACCCAAGCAGCAGAGGCGCAGCGCATGCGTCAGATCTCCAATTACGCAAATACACAGATAAAAATCTCCAAATTAAAAGGGCGCATGTTGCTGAAAACTGAACCAGACGTGAGTGTGAGGTCGGAAACGTCATGTTACTTCCACCTTCCATCACATTTGGTGGGATCTCTTTTTGATTGGGAGGCTGCGGACTGATTCAGACGCCGCTGAGGAGGAGGGGGAGGCGGAGTGATCCCTCCTGCCAGTTAAACCAAGTTCTCCCTGGGACCTAGCGCCCACATTGCTGAAGCGTCGCAGGGGATGAAGGCGCACGGATTCTGCTCTCTCATTCCGACTCCGATTTAAGGATATTTATTACTTCTTTGCATTTTTCCATCGCGAGGCTCTAATTAACATTAAAACAATCCTGACCGCTGGCTTTCTCTGATCTCCACATGTCTTTTCCAACCATTTGTACGAGAATCGGGTCATGATCACATCGCCCTTGGTGTCTGTTCTGAGAAATAGCACGAATCCAGCGTGGGAGAGCGGCTCCTCGGTGGGGGAGAAGGGAGCAGCGAACATCAGCCGACTGTCCGTCCACCACTGCGTCTCTCCCGCGGATCCCTCTCGCCAAGCCGGCCGTCTTCCCATCAAGGTGCTGAAAATGCTCACCGCTCGGGCAGGACACATCTTACACCCGGAGTACCTCCAGCCTCTGCCGTCCACTCCAGTTAGTCCCATCGAGGTAAGCATTAAAGCACATTTAGGGGACGTTTTTTGCGCACAGGAAAGTCAAGCTTCCGATGCGGGTTTCGTATAAAAATGTTGCATCAGACTTTTAGATTTGTTGTTATTCGCTTTAAATGTTTAACTCTGATGTTAGATTTGGAATAACTGCATATACTGACAACTATTTAGCAAGCTGGTGACTCTAAAATAACGTAAGCTTTAATGAGCAAATCTTCTACGCACATTAGAGTTTATTTAGTTTCTCTTCGAGATAACTTCATGCGCAGTGCGTAAAATACGCAAAGCGATTGTCTTTGCTGTCCTGAAAACATTTGCATGTTGACGTGTTTTTATTCCTTAAATACATCTTTTTTATTATTATTTTTCGCAGCTGGATGCAAAAAAGAGTCCGCTGGCCCTTTTGGCACAGACTTGCTCTCAGATCGGAAAGCCGGACCCCCCGTCCTCTTCCAAGCTTTCCTCCGTGACCTCCAGCGGATCCAGCGACAAGGAGACCAAATCCGGTCCGCTGAAAATGAGCGACATCGGAGCAGAGGACAAGTCCAGCTTCAAACCCTACTCGAAATCTTCAGAGAAGAAGGACTCCTCGAGCAGCATCAGTGGAGATAAAACTGGTTTCCGGGTGCCTAGCGCCACCTGCCAGCCGTTCACGCCCAGGACAGGCAGCCCCAGCTCCTGCACCTCCGTGTCGCCTCTACCGTCGGAGGGGAAAACTGGGGACAAGGAGGAAAAGAAGGAGCCTGACAGCAATAAAAGCGGCACGACTGATGGCAGCGGAAGCCAAAGGATAAATGGAATTACCTCTGACGACAGCACATCTGGACCCAAGGCTGCTACGTCAGACTCCACGTCTGTAACCTCCTCCTCTGTTCTCGGATCCGGACTGGTAGCTCCTGTCTCCCCCTATAAGCCGGGACACACAGTTTTTCCTTTGCCGCCCGCGAGTATTTCCTATCCTGGAAGTTTAGCCGGAGCGTATGCAGGTTACCCGCAGCCGTTCCTCCCGCCCGGAATGACCCTGGACCCCACCAAACCCAGCAGCCAGCTGCTGAGCGCGCAGTTCGCGGCCGCCAGCTCGTTGGGGTGCAGTAAAGCGGGGTCGAGCCCCCTGGCTGGAGCTTCTCCTCCTTCTTTAATGTCCGCCAGCCTGTGCAGAGACCCATACTGCCTGAGCTACCACTGCACCAGCCATCTGTCCGGTGCGTCAGGCGCAAACTGCGCGCACGACTCCGCTCTGAAGTCTGGATACCCGCTCATGTATCCAACACACCCCCTGCACGGTGTGCATTCCTCAGCCCCGTCTTTCAGCGGACACCCCCTGTACCCTTACGGCTTTATGTTGCCCAACGACCCGCTGCCGCATGTTTGCAATTGGGTATCTGCTAACGGACCCTGCGATAAGCGCTTCTCTTCCTCAGAGGAGCTTCTTAGCCACCTGCGGACTCACACCTCCTTCGCCGGGACGGAGAAGTTGATATCCGGGTACCCGGGCTCCACCACACTCGCGAACGCGGCTGCAGCCGCTGCCATGGCCTGTCACATGCACATCCCTTCAAACGGCAGTCCGGGCAGCCCCAGTGCGCTGGCCCTCCGGGGCCCCCACCACCCGCTCGGACTCAGCAGCCGCTATCACCCGTACTCAAAGAGCCCTCTGCCCGCTCCAGGGGCCCCGGTTCCGGTGCCCGCGGCCACAGGGCCTTATTACTCCCCGTACGCCCTGTACGGGCAAAGACTGACGACAGCTTCTGCCTTAGGATACCAGTGAAGTCGGAGAATTACACATTTATAACAGAATAATTTAGGCCCAATGAGTTTTATATTGGGACTGAATCCACGCCGGGATCAGTGTATTTATTTGCGATAGCTTCAAGCGTGACTAAAATAAAAAATATTATAATATACATTTTATAAGCCTCAACGTGCTTTATTTTATACTAGAAATGTTTGTTTTAGTAAATGTAAATACGATTTTAAATTCTGAACCCAAATTTCATTGTTGACCTTTTTAAGTTTTAAAAACAGGTGGAGGGGAAAAAAACAGTATGAGAAACTCACTCCTTCAGATGTGCACTGGATTTATTTTGCAGGGGTAAATGTTGCATTAAGCCCCGTATGTTGATCGTCACACCGCTATAAAACCAGAATGTTTTTAGTGTTTTACTTTAGACTCAAGATTTGATTAAATTAAAAGTAGAATTAATTGGGTCCAGTCAAGCTCTGGAGAACACATCAATATTTTTTAAGTTTCTCTGATTTTATTATTTATACTTATGTATATTAACTATTTTTATTTTAAATATTGCCAGTTTTAGAGTTTATTTTCAGAAAGTCACAAAAGATCATATATAAATTAGTAAAACATAAAATTAATATTTTACGTTCTGTATTCAGAAATACACATTTGGTGAAAACCTGTGATTTTCACTCATGCATTTGAGGATGATCTCCATTAATCTTTCGTATTGTTGTTGTGTGTAACTCAAACACTGAATGTCACACAGAATTTTTTTTATTCTAAAGCTTCAAATGTATTTTAATAATTGTTTTTTTTTTATTATTTTTGCTTAATTTATATGTGAATTGAAGTTTAAAAACAAATCCAATATTAAAGAAAACAAAAAAGTAGCACCTACTTTTAGTTGCAGCCTGGATTTTATGAGCTGGTGTCAGGCATGCTCCTTTATTCTGATTGTAATTGAAAAAATTGAAAATTCTGTTTTAAAAACAAAACAGAATCATTTAATTGTTTTAATTTAAAAAATAACTAAACAATTAGCCCATTAAAGTAATTACAATTGTATTATATAGACAAAAATTAAAATACAGGGGAAAATACAAAATTAATTATAGATTTTTAGTGCTTTTTTGCACAGAAAATAACTTTTTTTCCTTTTTTGCTCTTCACAAATTACCACAAGAATTAAAGACTGATTAGCTACTCAATAAGTGGGACTATCTGCTCCAGCAGAGCTAGCAGTTAACTACTGAAGCTTGTAGTTTGTAAACTGTATGTTTCTCTTCGGTTGGTTGTCTCATTGCTTACTATTGACACCCGGCCGGGCGCTGTGCAATTCTCTTGACATCACAAATTTGAACAGACAGTGTCCATTTTATTTTGTGGTACTCAGAAAAATGTAAGGCGAGGAGGTACTTAGCAAATTTTAAAAACTAATACTCAGACACTTAGCAAAAAGCTGAGAAAAACTGCAACAACAAAAAAACAAGTGAAAATCAGTTTCAAATTTTTGTCAAGAGCCAAGTTGGTGTGGGATACAATACACACACACACACACACACACACACACACACACACACACACACACACACACACACACACACACACACACACACACACACACACACACACACACACACACACGCACACACACTCGAGTTTTAAAAAAAAACATCCTTGGTATGATGAATTTGTTCTGGGTTGTTTTGAAGTTTGATTTATTAATCTTAGAGAGCTCTTGATACCATTACTGCATTGCTTACTATTTGATAGTAATTTAAATGATCACTGATTCAAATGAGTTTAAAATTGCAAAACGCATTAGCAGAATCCGTTCCCAAACTTATGTCTGTATCTGCAGACAAAAAGCTAGAATTTAACAAAAAAATAACTTTTTTTTTTAACTGAGACTACTTTAAATAACTACTTAAAGTAGTTAGTTAATTAGTAAATACTTGTACAATTAACTGCAAAACTAAACTATGCACCTTCATCATCCTGAGCTTAATGAAGGAGTATTTAATTTAAAATGTTTCACTGGTGAAGAGTAAAAAGGTTTTATAGCAGAAGTACCTATATCACTAATTGGAGCGGCAACTTTAGCTCCCATATATATATATGCTGGATCTTAAAATACTTCCTAACAGCTGAATTATATTTTTGTGAGCAAGGAAAATGTTTGAGGTTGTTTTCTGTCAGCTGACCTGCAGTGTACAGCAATGTGTGGGGGAGGGGCTGAACTGTGCTACTCTATGGTTCACAGACCTGAGAAAATCTGTGAGAACCTCGTTAAAAGGATTTTGAACCAATTGATGGTAGCCTGGTGAATCAGCAAGCACTGTTCATCATGACATATCTATATTGTGTTTTTTCAGCAAATCTACTTCACTAAAACTCTCTGAATTTCCTTCATCTTGCTGATAATTGATTCACCTTAAGACAGACAAGCTTTTAATATGACAAACCTCGAAACCAAAATTTACAGTGACTCAGATGTAAAATGTTTCCAGAGCTTTTTGTGATTGTTCTAATGAGGCTGTGAAGCACAGACTTTTAACAAGTTAATCAGTCCCTTAAAACAAATCAGCTAAATCAAGCCAACAGTGTCATTATCCATTCTCAGTAAATCAGACTGTTCTCCAGCAATGAGGAGAAGGAAAAAAAAAAAGAAGAATCAGCACGGTCAGACGTCGTATTCATCAAACCCGCCCATCCGTCATGCAGATGAGGCCCTAAACATAGCCTGGTGATAGATGGCAATAAAGCCGCGATTCAGCACTGCAGCCAGCCAGCCATGAAGGCAGCGTGGGTCACAGACGTGATGCATTCCGTTTTTACTAAAAACAGCACCATTAACATGATGTGAACAAATGGGGCAGAGATCTCAAGAGGCATTTATCAGAGGTTAATTGATGTGTGACGGTGTGGTATTGATTCACACATGAACCAGCAGATAAACTTGTCAACTATTTATTATGTAGATTTTCCTTAAATCCATTAAAGGAGTAAATTACTTTATATTTAGCAATTGACTGCAAGCATGGGTAGAATTAAATTATCTTAAAGTGAATATTTACATGGTAGTTCTGGCTTGTGTAATAGCATATATGACATTTAGTCTGGAACCATTTATTGAATTAAGCAGTTGATGCTTCAATATCCCTGTTTGAAGTGTTTTAATGAAACAACTTTGGATCAAACTTAAAAAAAATTGACACAATATAAAAGCTGAAAAGCTACCAATAAGTGTGCACAGAGATAATACCGATTGTACTTTAAATTATATAAATACAAAAAAGAAAAAAAAATCCTGCATCCAATCAGGTTTTTTTTATAGCAAAGTATCTCAATCTAAAGAATATGACAATTTTTTTTAAAGTCAATGTTTAGTTTTGTTTTTAAGATGCATCTTAAGTTATTTGTTTGGTAATATATTTTTTTCCCTTTAAATCAATGAAGAGTTGTTGACACGTACATTCATATGCATTACGTAAAAATGAGCCATAGGTGTCAGAAAATTAGCCAATGATAAATGTCTATAAGTTGGCAATAATCTAAATTTTTAGCTGTATTTTCAGTCTATTATCTAAATTGATAGATTATACCAAATTGTTAGCCTTTCTAAACTGTTTGCAGGCTATCAGGCAGGATAAACTTCATGTTTAAAGATAAGTTTAGGAGCGCAAATGATCTTTGGTCTTAAATTATCAATTGTTCTGTAAGTTAAGTGAGACCAAGAGCACAACGTGAGACGTGGACAACAAATCACAGGTCTTGAGATAATTTTCAAAACTTAAACAAAAAATTTAAGGTTTGATGGATAATAGTTGATCAGTTTCTGATAGAAGCTATGAATTGATACATATTGAAAGATTTACTAGTAATTGTAAGAATCCCCTTATACTTTTGTTTTAATATGAGCTTAGATTGCATTGCTACAGTTTTTTGTTGTTGTATTGGGTAACAATGGAAAACTATGGAAGCCACTAAAATAGCAAAAAAAAAAATAAAAAAAGCTATTTGGAAGAAATTATCACTTTGTAGTGAAGAGCATTAGTCTAATGTTACACTAATAGCATTTGGCCACTTTCTTTATCTTCATCTCAAGGTATTTCACCCAAAACGTTAATTTATTAAAAAAAACATTCCAATTTATCTCAGTAATCAAACAATGCAATAAGTTCAGTTTATTATTGGAATTGGTTTAAAAAGTCATTGACTTGGAGGATTCACTCCTATTGGATGAGTGTATAGCAACAGTAGACAATCACTTGCGGCTGTCTCTTCTTCTGAGCATGCATATAGTGACAGTGGAGAGTAAAAACTCCCCTTTAACAGAAAGACACCACCAGCAAAATATAAATAAATGATCAAACAAAAAACTTTCTGCATTTAAAAACATTGTGTAGCTTGATGCACTCTTTTAGTTTGATAAAACATGTGATGGAAGTTTAATGCATGAATGGGGAAAATCTTGCAATTTCTTCGTTTTCTTGATTGCACATAATTTCTTCTTTTAATGAAGCAGCAACATGGTTTCTTTTATGTGTTATAAACCAAAGAGGAAAAGAAAACAACACTCAGTAAGTCGGGACCTCAAGGAAAACTGGAAATCAGAATTCTCCAGGAATGCTATTCAATTAGAATATCATTGAAACTTTCAGTAATTCAGTTCAAGAAGTGGAAATTATACAGAATGATAAACATGTTTATTTTCTCATTTTGATTTCCAGCTAATAAAAAAAAACATCTTAAAATATGAATTTAATGTAATACCAACAAAAAGAGTTTTAAAATCTTATTTTGTGACCACAATGTGGCCTACGCAGTCCAAGGAAAGATTTTTAACATGAGTCATAGCACTCTAGACACGGAGGCTATGAAACAAAAGGTTATTACAACAGAAGATGTCTGTTCACAGACTGCTGTACCAAGTATATTACTGGAAAGCTTAGTGGAAGAAGAAAGTATGCACAAGCCAAAGGGATAACCCCAGCCCTGAGGGGAACGTGAACCAGAGCTCAGACATACATACTTTTTATTCAATTCCATTCATGGTCAAATTTGTTTGCACTCTTGGAAAAGATGAGTAAAAAGCAAGGCCCTTTAAAAAATAAAAATAAAAAAACACTGGTGGTATAATTATTAGTAGCTTGAAATT